CGTCCTTAAGTTATTTGTTTTTGTTATTTTTTGGCCTTATAACAATTATATTCAACAATTTTTATTGAGCTCGAGGCCGTTTTATAATGAAAATTTATTGTAGAAAAGCAACAATAATTTGAAAAAATGGTAGAAGTGATAGCTATTTCGGAAATCACCACATTTCCTCATTAGATTTCTTTCAGTAGGCTTCGAACCGACGATCCCACTGACTCAGCCAGTTGCCTATGCACCGTGCTAAGTATTCCTTGTAAATTGGGCTATTACCCAATCGTGTGACACTGCCTTTAAACTTGTATTTATACGGATGTTTTTAACGAATGAATTAACAAAACTAACCAAAATTAAATAACAGCAAAGATAATATTTTAAAACTTGTGAAAATTTGGTGCGGCTATAATTTGTTCGACTACTGTACATAAGTTGACTATGATTACTCGGCCGTGCTATCATAGTAGCACAATGCCACTGAGCGCATTTGAAAATTGTCAGGCAATAGGCTCATGCGATAATCGATTATATTTTTTGTTGTTTTTGTGAAATATTTTATTTTTATCAGTATTTTTCTTTTAATGAAAATATGTTAAAATAAAAGTGAAATTAAAAAAAATTTTGCCGGAGCTTCATCTGCCTCGGGAGACAAGAACCACAATAGCTCAACTTCGCTCTGGCTACTGCAGCAGGTTAAACTCATACCTGAGCAGACTAAGCGCAGATGTACCAAATGAGTGTCCGGCATGAAGAGAGATACGCCATGACTCGAAACATCTCTTCGTATGCCCGGAAAACCCGTCAGCCCTAACGCCTTTGTCCCTGTGGACCGATCCTATTGAGGCTGCACGCTTCTTAGGGCTGCCGTTAGGGGAAATTGACGACAACGACTGAGATATTAACCAATCTGGGCGGGGTTATTGTAGGCGCTACAACAACAACAACAACATGTCAGAGAAAAGACTTAGCGTAGCAGAACTTCCAAGAGAAGTGGCTTCAAGTGCCAGAGTAGAAAGATTGGCTGGCTCCAATTCATAGGGACAAGGCATGTGGCTGCACTTTCGCATGCGGCTTAATTAAAGTACATATACATCATAAAACGGAAAAGCATTTTAAAAATTTACGGATTTTCCGCACAACACCCTCCACATTAAAATTTTTGCAACAATCTACTGCTGTACTGAAGCTAGCAGCGTTCTTGGCAGATCAAATTGTTTTATTTCGTATTGTTGACGACCTTGTCAATTTACTCAACGATATTTTTGCAGACTAAAAAATAGCGAATAATGTGGTATTAAGCAGAACTAAGACGTTGTTTAAAGGAAGAAATATACAATTGACCAACATTATAGCTATGGCAAGTGACAATTCCAGCGCTATGGTGGGATCGAAAAACCATTTTTATGCGCACCTGAAGCGAGATGTTAGTAAAATTTTAAGGAATTTCAAAAATTTTGCGATCTTTCTACGAATAAATTTATTTCCCATCTACAACACGATGGCTTGTGATGCAGCCAGGTTTAGTAACACTATTAAGAAATTGGACTGCATTAAAATACTTTTTTATTTATGAAAAAGAATTCACGAACAGGACGAAAGTTGAAAAAATTTTGCGAAGTTTAGATAGGCCGGATATTAAAATGTATTTGCATTTTTTTTAAATATATTTTAATAGATTTAACGCTTTATATCAATCTACGGATCTATAAGTCCACAAACTGCATTCATAATCGAGGCAAATGTTAGCGCTTCTTTCAAAAATAGTTTTGAAAGATAAAGTATGTAACATAATAACTTCAGGTAAAGAAATACCTGCACCCAAGCACTGAACTTCGCCCTGATAATATGCAATTTAATAGTGTTTTCGGAAAACATTGCTAAACTCGAAAGAGATCAACCATTACAAACAAAAACTAGCTGTGGAGAATTTGTTAAAACTTTTATACTCAAAATTTGTGAAAAATTTCCTATTAATGACGCTAGAATTCTTAGATCCAACAATTGCTCTTGACAAGGAAAAAAGATATTATAGCAAATCCCTCAAAAATTTGGCCAGTTATGTGGGCGTTAGTTGCAATGAACTGCAAGATGAGTGGGGCAACCTTCCAATTTCTTTTAATAATGTTGAAAAAAATTCATTTCTCAACTATAAAGTTACTGACTTCTGGAAAGTCGTAGCTAATGGAACAGCTTTAAATGGAGATAAACTTTTTCCAAATCGAACTATCCTTTTCCATTTTATTGCATCTTTGCCACACTCAAACGCTGATTCTGAAAGAATATTAGTTGTGTTCTTTTACAAGTTATCCAGTAACTTACCAGTAACTCTCCAGGAACTTACTTTCTGAGAATTCGCTCTCATAGCACAAAAGTACAAGAACGCAAAACCAGTAATTATTTGCAAGTTTTACGCACAGCTGAATAATTTGTTGTTTATTCGCAGCTAGTTCCTAATAAAACAATATATATTATTCTCATTTTCGTTGTTGGTGTTTCCTACAGGGTAGGAGTGTGGTGTAATGTTCCACAATATATATTATATTTTAATAGGTATATTTTGTCAATTCCAACTATAAAAACCTCATAAACATTTTTTTTATTAGTTTCAATTGCACCCAGCAACATGCGATCAGCTATTTTTCTCACTTGCAAGGTCTTACTGGTAAAAATTTATCAGTAAAAACTAGCAACTTCGGCTCAACATGAAATATCACTTTGCGCTCTCAATTTCCCCCTTCATACAAGTTTTTTGGGTACAAGAACACCAAAACGTGATAGTTAGTAAAAACTCGTACAAACTGTCGCGTACAAGAACGCTACTATTTTCTATTTTCACCAGCGTTGCCAGAAGATAGAATTTTTCCCGTTTTGCGGGAATTTTGAACAAAGAGGGGATGGCGGGAATAATGGTCGTGAAAACGGGGAAAATCACATACGCCGTACCAATAAATATTAGAGTAATACTATTATTATTCATGGGAAAGCTGTACAGAATTTAAAGTTTAGTTACTGGAAGAATCTCGTCCGTCAGAATCCACCTCCAATCAAACTCGAGCATATTGCACAATATGTGCAGTAAGCTTTCTTCCTAATAAATCGTAACTGCAAAAACATGCAAAAACGCAAAATCGTGTGCAAAAATATAATTCAATTCATGACAACTAATCACCAGCTAAAAATTTTGCAGTTTACTAATGGTTCGGTAGCATGTCAAGCTAAAAATGTGGAGAGAAAGCTATGTGCGTTTGCGAGGGAGCACAATATTACATTTTTTGCATTTGATCACTTATCAGTGCTGTTGACAGAATTCAGCGATTACACGAATGGTATGTATAAATAACGTATAAGTAGATGCATATATATATATATGTTTTATATTAATAATATTACATGTAAATTGAATAGTTATTGTTATTGACTGAGTTGTTAAAATACGGTTATTGATCGTATAAAAAATAAAACACGGAGAAAGTTGATTTGTCATTTTAAAAAACTGGGTTATATAAAAAGGGAAAAAACGCGAAAAATATATAGAACTGCATGGACAAAAAGGGAATAGGCTCGCCTAAAACCTGGCAACACTGATTGTCACCGACACTAAAGGCTCCGTCTAGCTTGCACCCCATCCAAGGATTTACGAAAAAAACTATACGCAAACAATTGGTCATCGTTTGGTCAGGATTGGTCACTAATTTCCATCGTTTGGTCATTAACCGTTCTCTTGTTATTCAATTTTCAAATTAGGGGTTGAAAATTTGATGTGCTAGCACCCGATCCAAGCATTTGTGAAAAAGAATATATGCAAACGATTGGTCATCGATTGGTCAGGATTGGTCACTAATTTTCATCGTTTGGTCATTAACCGTTCTCTTGTTATTCAATTTTCAAATTAGGGGTTGAAAATTTGATGTGCTAGCACCCGATCCAAGCATTTGTGAAAAAGAATATATGCAAACGATTGGTCATCGATTGGTCAGGATTGGTCACTAATTTTCATCGTTTGGTCATTTACAGTTCTTAAAAGAATTGTTTAACGCTCGGATTTTTTCAATTTGAAGACGAAACCAAAGACGATATCTACGAGCCAATTGAAAAGTATTATGTCAATTCATTTATTTAGCTTTCGGTTAATATGTATATAATAAGCTAATATTGCACCCTCATCAGAATTATACTAAAAACAGGTAAAAAATTAGTCACATAATCATAACACTAATATTTATCAGCCATAGAGTACTTACAAAAATCTGTGCTAATATATATGTATATGTGTGTTTAACGCAAATTGAACTGCGGCACCATGGATTGTCCATCTTAGTATACACACATATATGTATCAGCAACTTGGTCAAATTGGCGGTATGTTTACCCTGTCTATAAAAACAATTAATACAAATTTATACACACAATATTCTTTTTTATATAAAACACGCAAAAGGCAAAAGGCATACTTCTTATGGGAGTAGCACGTAATAATTGCAAATCTTCCGGCATAATAAATTTAAAAAATTTAAATTATTCTAACGAACAGCGAGCAAATTATTGACTCAAATGTCAAAATTTTATAAGTTATATTCGTTACAACAAGACGAGCAGGGGGTCAATTCTCGTTCTGTGATAAGATGGAGTGAAAAAAAGTTTTCATTTTCGTTTTCACAACTACTTTTCACTCTGCCTTTTCACAGACACTTATTTTGCGATTCTGGTTTGTGCTGTGAAAATCGTGTTCCATTACCACTATAGTCGTGAAACTTTTGCAACTGTGCTATTGAATTTTCGAAGTAAATGTCAAAGTTGAGGAAAACGTAAACAAAACATGTCGGGAATAATTATTTTATTAGAATTATCGCAAAGAATTCGAGACGAGCAAAGGTAATAAAGGTGTAAATTTTTTAAATGCAGTATATACAATTTAACGCATTATGTATTTCAGAGATAATTTGAGAGACTTCGCGACGACCAAAATCCCTTTGAGATTACAACAGACGAGCATTTCATTGATTTATATCGGTTCCCTAAAGCTTTGTGCCTGGAATTAATTAATGAATTAATGCCATTTATGCCGAACTCGCAAAGGAGACATGCTGTTCCAAGTCATGTAATTATTTTAAGCGCCCTGCGTTTTTTTGCCACTGGTAGCTTTCAAAGAAGTGTGGGGCAAGACAGTTTATCTGCTTTATCCCAAACATCAGTTAGCAGATGTGTGCAAGTGGTGGCAACTGCACTTAATAACATAGCCCACAGACATATAAAGTTCCCAAAACGCGAAGACTTCCCGGCGCTCAAAATAAAATTCATGGAAAAATACCAATTTCCTGGAATAATCGGACTCATAGACGGAACGCACATCAAAATATCAGCCCCGAAGAAAGAAATTGAGCATGTTTACTATTGCCGAAAGGGTGGGCACTCCAAGAACGTTATGATAATATGTGGTGCTGATTATATCGTTTTGTCTGCTAGCGCGCGGTTCGGAGGTACTGCTCATGACACATATGTATGGCGTCGCTCTCGAGCTTGCAGAGCTCTGGAGGAGCTTTATAAGGCGGGTGAGCGCGATTTTTGGCTTCTGGGTGATAGTGGCTACCCACTACAGGTACAATTTATATTATTTTTCTTTGTTAAAGATCTAATGCTAATATAAATTTTAAATTAGCCTTGGCTGATGACACCAATTAGTGCGACATCATGTACCGCAGAAGAGCGCTACAATATAGCACACAAGTCAACTCGAGCTCTTGTAGAAAGATGCATTGGCTTACTAAAAAGCAGATTTCGCTGTCTGTCGAAGGAAAGAGCCCTTTTCTACAGTCCACCAAAAGCAGGCCTCATAATCAACGCTTGCCTGGTTTTACACAACTACTTGATTCGGGCTAGAGCGCCGTTCGATGAAATTTATTTGGAAGACTCTGATGAGCCTGAAGAATGTGGTGGCCCTTCTTCAGCTATTTCAACACAGAATATATTATCCATTGCGAAAAGACAACGATTGCAAATTGTTCAAAATGCTTTTACTAATAACATTCAAAATTAGATTGAAAATAATTCAACTTTTTATTTTACATTCGTATTTTTACTTATTTACATATATTAATAAATATGCATATGTATATTATATTTCAAATGTTAAATTCTTTTTAAAGGCAGTTTTTATCACAAAAAGTTTTGTTCATAAATTCATTGCAATGAGGACCTCATATTTTCTTAAAGACTAAAAAATAAAAAATAAATCGAATTCTTTCATATTCGATATCTCATATTAGGCTCCAGAAGAAGTATAAAAATACACACATAGATTGCTATATTTCCAAGATAAGTATTTTTAAATGCAGTTTTTATCACAAGTAAGTTTTGTACATAAATTCATTAAACAGAGAAATTCATATATTTTTAAAAGCTAAAAAAAAATCATATTTTCATAGACTCTAGAAAAATTAAAAATAGAATCGACTCCATATTTTCCTAAACTCTAAAAAAGTTTAAAAGTAAAAACGACTTCATGTTTTCTTAAATTCTAAATATTAAAAGTAAAACCGACTTCATATTTTCTTAAACTCTAAAAATACTAAGAATAAAAAGGACTTCAAGTTTTCTTAAGCATTAGAAAAAGGTATAATAAAAATTGTCTAATACTTATGGAGAAGGCTGTTTCTAAAATTAAAACATTCTCACGGCCGCCTCAAAATTTCAATTAAAAGTAGTAGTTTTTCTACAATACATTCTTTAGTATAGTATAGTATTTATTTATTACGGTCTTTAAGACCTAGTTGATGTTAAGTTAACATTTGTTTCATTAAATATTCAGTGTTTTACAATATAAAAATAGTTTTATTTTAAACTTATTAATATTTTCACAATCTTTTATCGCAGTAGGTAGTTCATTGTACATTTTGTACCCTGTGTATTCCAAAGTATTCTTTGCAAACTCTGTTCTTACTAAAGGCAGTCTTATATTATTGCAGGATCTAGTTCCATAATTATGTATCTCGTGATTATATAGTATTTTATTGCTCAGGTAACTCGGTAGCATTCCTAATCTTACATGATGTATAAATTTCAAAGTGAAGTAGCTTATTGACTGTTTTATACTCAGCCAGTTTAACCGATTCAGCATTATAGTTTTAGATGTTCTTGGGGGACATTTTAATATAAATCGCATTGCCTTGTTTTGTTGTATTTGTAGTCTTTTAATTTGCGTATCACTCGCTATCAACAGAATTGTAGGACAATATATAAAGTGCGGTTCAATAATTGAACGATACACAAGTATTTTATGATGTTGACTAATATGTTTGCATGTTCTGTACATGAATCCTATTTTCTGCGCAATTTTTCTTTCAAGATAATTTATATGTTCTCCAAAATTCAAGTCTTCATCAATTAAAACTCCTAAGTACTTCATTGTATTTACTCTTTGAATTATATTGTTTTTTATCTTCAGGGTTATATTGTTTAAATCGTTATTACGTATGATGTTCTGGTTTTTGCAAAATACCATGAACTTAGTCTTATCTACATTTAACTTCAATTTTTTAAGGCACAACCAGTTGTATAGAGAGTCAAGATCTTCTTGTGCTTTCTGCATTGCACTGTGGGCATATTTCTCACTAATGATAAGCAGTGCATCATCCGCAAATAGACGTATATTGCAATATTTTAAGCATTTTTTAATATCATTTATGTACAATGTAAATAGTATCGGTGCCAGTACTGAACCTTGTGGCAACCCAATATCTACATCCACAACAGATGAAACTGTTTTTCCAATTACCGTCCTTTGCTTTCTGTCACTCAGATAACTTCGGAACCATTCCAAAGTCGTTCCTCTGACACCAGTTCTGAACAAGACATTCAACAATTCCCGTCTATCAACTGTTTCAAAGGCCCGCTTCAAGTCTAAGAAGACAGACACCACAACTTTTTTATCTGATATATCTTCTTTCCATTCTGCAATAACCATGTTTAGTGCTGTTTCACAAGAATGGCTCTTCCTGAATCCAGACTGTTCAGGTATGATAACTTTGTGCTTTTCTAGGTATGCCACCAATTGATTTTTCACCACTATTTCCACAATTTTCTCATCTGCGGGTAACGTATTGATTGGCCGTAGCTCCTCAGGTTTGACTGTATTTTTTACTTTTTCCACAGGTACTATTGTTGAAACTTTCCAACAGTTTGGGACAATGCCATTATTTAGGGACTCATTTATTATGTCTTTGTAAAAGTTACCAATGTACGTCATGGAATCCTTAAAAACACCCTCAGATAAAAGCTTTTCTCCGCCATATTTGTTTTTAAATGCTTTTGTGATATTCATTATGTCATCCAACACAATGTCAGTGAAAAGAAATGGTTCTATTGCGATCGAGCGGTCAACGTTTAGTCCGGATGTAGTAGGCATTTCTTCGATACTATCATTAATTTCGACTATGCTCTGAACAAAAAAATTGTTTGGGGCATTAGCTATATGATACTCATTATCAAGGCATGCGCCATTAATTACTATCTTAGTGATATGTTTTTTGTTATCTGTAAGCTCTGCGAGGTCTTTCAGACACTTCCACATCCGCTTCATGTTTCCGTTATTGCTGTGAACTCTGCCTTCCATATACATCTTCTTCTTATACGTAATAGTACTTTTGTATAGTTTCTTTATTTCATTATATTCATCCCAGTATCCTGTTTCTGTGGCAATATTATAAAGCTCAAGTTTACTTTTATGGAGAGCTACAAGCTCGCGGTCATACCACTTATTTCTCAGTCGTATTTTTGTTTTTTTCACATATGTCAGTGCTTGCATTACTTCAGTAAGAATATCGTTCAGGGCTATAGTCTTATTTTCTACTCCCGCATTACGCATAAAGCTAAAATCGCTTGTTCTTAGCTTATTTAAAAGGTTTTCGGAACTATAGTTTTCCCATGAGGTAAAAGTAGAGTAACGTCTCATTTTGCAAAACTTTGTTGTTGGCACTTTAAAATTAATTGTTTCATGATCCGAAATTCTATATTCAACTATATTTTCCGATCTGACTTGATCATTATTACTAATGAGCAAGTCAATTTTGGTAGACGAGTTCTCTGTTATTCTCGTATTGAAATTAATTCTTTGTATCATTGCCCTTTGTGCGAATAAACTTAATAGGTGTTTCGAGTATGTTGATGATACTTTCATATTGATGTTAAAATCTCCAATTATGATATTATTGTTTCATTCCTTGAGGTTTTCGGTCAGGATTTCGTCTAAAAACGTTATCTTTCATTTGCGTGCCCACTATTATTGCCTCTGTCTGCTCCTTCACCGCTTGGATCTGTTCGCGTTTTAAATTATTGGCGATCTCCATTTCCCTTACCTTGATTTCCTCTAGCCTAAACAATTTTTCTAACTGAGGGTTTTCTGCTTGCGCCTTTCTTTTTCGCCCTCTCGAACGGGCTGCTGCTGTGCTACCTCTTATTGCTGCAGCATTTGAGGTGCTCGCCCCTATCATTGGACACGTAGTTCCATCTTCCAATGTGGTTGCGGCTGCAGTATCATCTAACTCGCATTCAGCCACAACAACTTCGAATGTCTCCTCCACAATGTCAGCGAGATTGTGAGACGCTTCTGCCATGTCGAGTGCTTCAAAGCCCACTTCGCCCGTTTCATCACCATCGACTGCCTGCACAGTTGTAATCTTAATTATGCGCTCTTCCAGCGGTGACAGTGATTTGGCCCGGCTCAAACCGTTTATACCACTTCTCTGCTCTGCCTGCCTTATCGCACTATATTTTGTGCCACTATGAAGTCTGTTTGTAGGTATTAAAACAAAACATTAAAAAAATAATCACATCATGAAAAATTTATATACATACTTTAAATCGCTCCAATACTTCTTCCATTTTGCACCATCCTTTTGAGTGCCGCCAAATTTGGCACCATCTTCCGTCACA